GAAATGTAATTCACATATTATACAATTCCCCTATTTAAAGTGTACAGATCAGGGGCACCTGGCTGGCTCAGTCAGTAGAGAATGTGATTCTTGATCTCAGGGATGTTAAGTTCGAGTCCCATGTTGGGTACAGAGATTACTTAAAAATAAAAAATATATTTTTTAAAGATTTACTTATTTAATTTATTTGAGATAGAGAGCACAAGCAGGGAGAGCAGCAAGCACAGGGAGAAGGAGAAGCAGACTTTTCATCAAACAGGGAACATGATTTGGGACTCCATCCAAGGACCCTGGGATAATGTCCTGAGCCGAAGGCAGACACACAACAGAAGAGCCACCCAAGTGCCCCTAAAAATAAAATCTTAAAAATAAAAAAAATAAAGTGTACAAATTAATGGTATTTAGTATATTAAGAGCTGTGTGACCAATAAAACAATCAATTTTAGAAGATTTTCATCACCCTTTCCCCAAAAGGAACTCTGTAACCTAGGCAACCACTAATCTACTTTCTGTCTCTCTATATTTTCCTATTCTAGACACTTTATATAAATTCCATCATACAGCATGTAGGCATTTGTAACTGGCTTCTTTATTTTTTAAAAAATCAACTTAAGCAGATATATTTTGGCAGTATTTCCATTTCACTGATCCAAATTGTCTTTGGAAATACCAGTAAGGCATGAAATTTTAGAATATAGCAACTTCCTTGTATTGTTCATTGATATATAATTCATATACCATAAAATTCATCCTTTAGTGTACAATTTAAGTTTTTAGTATAGTTACCAGATTGTGCAACGATTACCACTATCTAATTCCAAACATGTCCATCATTCATCATTCTACAAAAAAAAAAAAAAAAAAAAAACCCAAAACCTCTGTACCCATTAGCAGTCATTCCTCATTCAAATACCCCCTACCTCCAGCCAATGGCAAATACTAATCCATGTTTTTCTGTTTCTACAGATTTGCTTATTCTGGAAATTTCATGTAAATGGAATCATACAATGTGCAGCTTTCACTTAGCATGTTTTCAAGGTTCATTTATATCATAACATGTATCAGTACTTCATTTCTTTTTATTGCCAAATAATATTCCATTGTATAGATATACAACATTCTCTATCCATTCATCAGCTGATGGACATTTGGGTTGTTTCCACTTTTTGGCTGCTATGAATAATGCTGTAAAGGATAGCAGAATTTGCTACCCCAAAATATGCCACTTTTACCCAATGATTGTTTTAAACTGAAGGCAACTGAAAAGAAGCTACCCACATGTGCTGTCTCTCTCTCTCTCTCTCTCTAAAAAAAAAAAAAAAAAAAAAAAGTTTAGCCTCCCCTATTTGCCTTTGTCTGGTCACTTCTCTAAAGATTTATTGTTTCTGGGGATCCCTGGGTGGCTCAGTGGCCTGGGGCGTAATCCTGGAGTCCCAGGATCGAGTCCCACGTCGGGCTCCCTGCATGGAGCCTGCTTCTCCCTCTGCCTGTGTCTCTGCCTCGCTCTCTGTGTCTCTCATGAATAAATAAATAAAATCTTAAAAAAAAAGATTTATTGTTTCCTTGCTGTGATGCTATATGAGCCCAAGTTTTAGCCAAACCTTTGAGTTACCATCCCTGAGTTTCTCCCATGTATATATGAGATATACATGTTAATAAACTTCTATTTTTTTCTCTTGTTAATCTGTATTTTGTTACAGAGTCCCAGCCAAGAACCTAGAAGGGCAGAATAAAAATATTTTCCCCCATCCAGCTTCTATGAACATTTGTGTATAGGTTTTCATGTGGCTATGTGTTTTCATTTCTCTTGGGTATATAACTTGAAGTGAAATTTTTGGGTCATAGGATAGCTCTGTGCTTAGTATTTTGTGGAACTGACAAACTGTTTTCCAAAGTGGTCACACCATTTACATTCCTATCAGTAGTGTATGAGTTTCCAAGTTTTCTAAATCCTCCCCAAAACTTGATTACCTGTCTTTTTTATTGTAGTCATCCTAATGGATGTGATGTGGTATCTCATTGGTATCTCATTGGGGTTTTAATTTGCATTTTCCTGATTGCTAATGATGTTGAATACCTTTTCATGTGCTTACTGGTCATCTGTATATCTTCTTTGGAAAACTGTATGTTCAGATTCTTTGCTCATTTTTTTGCCCATTTTTAAACTAGATTGCCTTTTATTTATTTTTTTTAAGATTTTATTTATTTATTCACAAGAGACAGAGAGAGGCAGAGACACAGGCAGAGGGAGAAGCAGGCTCCATGTTGGGAGCCCAATGCGGAACTCGATCCCGAGACTCCAGGATCACAACCTGGGCCGAAGGCAGGCGCTAAACCACTGAGCCACCCAAGGATCCCCCTAGCACAGATGTTTTTAATTTCGATGAAGTCTATCTACTTTTTTTTCTTTTGTTGCTTATACTTTGGGTGTCATACCTCTCTTAAGAAGGCTCTGCCTAACCAAAGGTCATTAAGATTTACTTCTCCATTTTTCTTTTAAGAGTTTTGACGTTTATTCATTTATTAGGTCTATAATCCATTTTGAGCTAGTTTTTGTGTACATGTGAGGAAAGGATCCAACTTTATTTTTTTGCATATGAATATTCAGTTGTTCCCACACTCTATGTTGAAAAGACTCTTCTTTCCTAATTGATTTGTCTTGGCACCCTTGTCAAAAAGTTAATTGACTGTAAATGTTAAAGTTTATTTCCAGACTCTCAATTCCATTCCATTAATATATTATATCTATTGTCACATCAGCACTGCACAGTCATGATTACTGTAACTTTTCAGAACGTTTTGAAATCAGGAAGTGTGAGTCCTCTATGTTTTCTTTTTCAAGAGTGTTTTGGCTACTCTAGCTTTCTTGAATTTTCAAATGAATTTTAGGATCAGTTTGTTAATTTCTTTCTTTTTTTTTTTTAAGATTTTATTTATTTGACATAGAATACAAGCAGGGGGAGCAACTGAGAGAGAGAGAGAAAGAAGCAGGTTCTCTGGCAAACAAGCAGGGAGCCTGACTCAGGGCTTCATCCCAGGACCCTGGGATCATGACTTGAGCTGAAGGCAGATGCTTAACCAACTGAGCCACCCAAGCACCCACAGTTTGTTAATTTCTGTAAAGAAGCCAGTTGAGGATTATGATAGGGATTACAATGCATCTATTTATGAACTTGGGGAATACTGCCATCTTAATAATATTTAGTCTTCCAATCCTTAAACATGAAATACCTTTTTATTTACATTGTCTTTAATTTCTTTCAACAATGTTTTGTAGTTATTCCATGATTTTAACTGCAATATTATCTATTATTAGAAAAAAGGAGTAATTATAATTCAAGTCTCTCAGTTCTTTTTCAAGATTTTGAAGAGAGATTTGTCCTATAGAAACAAAAACTTGCAAAAAAAAAACAAAAGCTTTTAAATCCTTAGTGTATATCCTATTTATTTATTTATTATTTATTTATTTATAACGATTTTATTTATTTATTCATGAGAGACACAGAGAGGCAGAGGGAGAAACAGGCTCCATGCAGGGAGCCTGACGTGGGACTCGATTCAGGGTCCCCAGGATCACGCCCTGGGCTGAAGGCGGCGCCAAACCGCTGAGCTACCTGGGCTGCCCAGTGTATCTCCAGTTTAAATTTTCTGCCTCAAAAAAAAAAAAAAAAATAAATAAAAAATAAAAAAATAAAAAAAAAATAAATAAATTTTCTGCCTCATCCCCATATGTCTTCATTTCAAGACCACTAAATTTTTCTTTTCTTCTTCTTCTTTTTTTTTTTTTTTAGATTTTATTTATTTATTCATGAGAGACACACACAGAGAGGCAGAGGAATCAGCAGAAGGAGAAGCAGGCTGGGGTGGGGAGCCAGATGGGGACTCAATCCCGGGACTCCAGGGTCAAGCTCTGCTAAGGCAGACGCTCAACCACTGAGCCACCCAGGCATCCCAGGACCACTAAATTTCTATCCCATGTTGGTAGGCAAGGTTTCTTACTTTTGTTTGGTCTTAACTTCCCTGAAGAAACATGAGAATGCTGCATACAACATATTCTCTATATTCACTAGAGATCCAATGAGCTTGTTCCACTGGAATGGCTTTTTACACTGTGATAGGATGCAAGGACTTTTCTCCCTTTGGGTTTATTATTAAGTAGAACATTTTATTTTGCAGCTGCAATGGAGAAGAACATTAAGACATCTTCTGTAGAATGAGTTAAGTGGGGCAAGATATGTTTCTAATTTAAGAAAGAGAGTTAACTTAAAGAATCCTTATTTAATATTCTGAAACTTAAGTTCTGCCAGATGGGAAATTTAAATACAACATAATTTTCTTCCATATATATAGAGAGAGACAGAGAGCAGCAGAATATCTGCCTGCTTCTCCTACAGAATCATATGTTGGTTGGTTGAATATATGCCACCATTATTCATGACTTACATGGCTTCAGTGGTACATATTTTAATACTCCTAATTTATGTTTTTAGGGGTATTAGAGATAGTATAGTAGGGAATTACAAATTTCATTAGTTTTAAAGAAAAATTTTCTCAGAGACACCTGACTGGCCCAGTCAGTAGAACATGAGGCTCTTAATCTTGGGGTTGTGAATTCAAGCTCCAAGTTGGGCATAGAGCCCACATAAACAAACAAACAAAAAAAATTTAATTAAAAATAAAAAGGAAAGAAAAACCTTAGATAATTCTCCCAAAAAACTATACAGAACTAGGGGCACCTGGGTGGCTCAGCAGTTAAACATCTGATTCTTGGTGTGGGATCAGGTCATGATCTCATGGGTTATGAATCGAGCCCCACAAGGGGCTCTATGCTCAGTGCAGAGTTGGCCTGGAATTCTCTCTCTCTCTGCCCTTTCTCATGCTCCTGCGTGCACACACGTGCTCCCTGTCTCTAAAATAAATAAAATCCTTAAAAAAAAAAAACCTGTAGAATACTAAACATTGGTTCTCTTCCTTCATATATAAACCATATCGTTTTTTTAAACTTTTATTAATGGGGGATCCCTGGGTGGCGCAGCGGTTTGGCGCCTGCCTTTGGCACAGGGCGCGATCCTGGAGACCCGGGATCGAATCCCACGTCGGGCTCCCGATGCCTGGAGCCTGCTTCTCCCTCTGCCTGTGTCTCTGCCTCTCTGTCTCTGTGACTATCATAAATTAAAATAAAAATAAAAATAAAAAAAAAGATGAAGATCGAATCAAAGCGTTTTTAAAAATAAATAAATAAATAAATAAATAAATAAACTTTTATTAATGATAATTTAGCTTCAATGAATATTTCAAAATTACCAGCCTCTCATCCATTTTTAATAGCTTGCCCTCCCTTCAAAACACCAGAGGTAAAAATCAGCATTATTTACTATTGACCCAACATAATTGCTATTCTGAGTTACCAAGTTTAATACCTATGTACAATGATGTTAGATAATGTCATTGGTATTTACTGGTTGTTTCTTTTCTTTAATTCCTTGTTTTTTCTTTTTTTTAACTTTTTTTTTAAAATTTTTATTTATTTATGACAGTCACACAGATAGAGAGAGAGAGGCAGAGACACAGGCAGAGGGAGAAGCAGGCTCCATGCACCGGGAGCCCGACGTGGGATTCGATCCCGGGTCTCCAGGATCGCGCCCTGGGCCAAAGGCCGGCACTAAACCGCTGCGCCACCCAGGGATCCCCTTCCTTGTTTTTTCTATCATGTTTTTCTATCATATGTTGTTTGACAGTAAACACAAGAATTAATTCTTGAGGGATGCCTGGGTGGCTCAGCAGTTGAGCACCTGCTCAACCCAGGGCATGATCCTGGGATGCCAGGAGTCCCACATCGGGGACAGCCTGAGTGGCTCAGTGGTTTAGCGCCGCCTTCAGTCCAAGGGCCTGATCCTGGAGACCGAGGATCGAGTCCCACGTCGGGCTCCCTGCATGGAGCCTGCTTCTCCCTCTGCCTGTGTCTCTGCCAATCTCTCTCTCTCTCTCTGTGTCTCTCATGAATAAATAAAATCTTAAAAAAAAAAAAAAAAGGAGTCCCACATCAGGCTCCTCCCTGCATGGAGCCTCCTTCTCTCTCTGCCTATGTTTCTGCCTATCTCTGTGTCTCTCATGAATAAATAAAAAAAAACCTTAAAAAAAAAAAAAGAATTCTTGAACCTGGATTGTGCTAAAATGGCAAGTCATTATTTTTCACAAGATGAAATCATCTTATAATATTTTCTGTAGGACCAAAATGTTTGTAGTAGAGGCAAGAAAGGTGGCCTAAGGGCATCTGAATTCATTTGGAAGGCAAAAACAAAGCAAAACAAAATCCCACACTTTGAAAATCTAAGTAATTTATCTGCCCTTTAAATTTTTCACTGGGAAGGCTTTCTCTGGAGCTATTCTCATTGTTAGAAATTAGAGGATGGAAAAAAAAAAGAAATTAGAGGATAGAGATCTTAGAGAGTCATCTGAGGTGTCAAGATTAGGACTGATCACCTGGGGGGCACTTGGCTGGCTCAGCTGGAAGAGCATGTGACTCTTGATCTCAAGGTCTTAAGTCTGAGCCTCACATTGGATGCACAAAGTCCTAAAAAATAAATAAATAAATAGATAGATAGGTAGGTAGGTAGGTAGGTAGGTAGGTAAGTAAGTAAGTAAATAAATAAATAAATAAATAAATAAATAAATAAATGAAAAATATTGATAACCTGGGTTATTATTTCAAAATTCAACAAAGTGAAAAGGAACTAGTCCTTACATGATGCCAAATGTAATCTTCCCATACAAAAGGTAACGATAAAGTATACAAGTGACACTATATCCATTCATCCATTTAGTATCTTTTCTTTTTCTTTTTTTAAGATTTTATTTAATTTATTCATGAGAGACACAGAGAGAGAGAGGCAGAGACATAGAGGGAGAAGCAGGCTCCTCGCAGGGAGACTGATGCAGAACTCAAACCCTGGACCCAGGATCACACTCTGAGCCAAAGGCAGACGCTCAACCACCGAGCCACCCAGGCGTCCCAAACTTTGACATTTTAAAGTAAAACATATACCATTCTGTTACATCTAATGGAATCTAAAAACATAGTAATTTTTTAAAATATTTTATTTATTTGAGAGAGAGAAAGAGAGCATGAGCAGGGGGAGAGGTAGAGGGAGAGGAACAAGCAGACTCCCCGCTGAGCAGGGAGCCTGACATGGAGTTTAATCCCCAGACCCTGAGCTCAGTCTCAGGACCCCAAGATCATGACCTGAGCCAAAGACAGATGCTTAATCAACTGAGCCACACAGGCACCTCTAAAACACAGTGATTTAATACCTGCCATCATCTATTTTTAAAAGATAAAACTGGGTTTCCAGCAATATGGTGGACTAGATATTCTGATGTGCCTCCCAACAAAAACTAAAAATTCTGGATAAAACAATAAAACCATTTTCTTAATAGTTTCAAAGAGCTGGTATGATAGTAAGAAATCTTTAAGCCAGACAGAAATGGAACACTGGTGCCATTTTTTCTAAGGCCTTTTAAGTGCTAGAATGGAACATAAAGCCTAGGGTCACCCAAAAGGAGAAGTACAATAAGTGAAGTACCTGCTCAAAAAGTTGGAACTCCAAAGGGCTTAACCTTCAGTGTAAGGGTGAGCCAGAACTAAGTCTACCCTAACTCCATCTTCTAGAATTGCAATGAAAATTGCCTTGGTGTAAGCAGGAAAAAGGGAAAAAACAAACAAACAAGAGTACCTGAGGTATGTCCAAAACAACCAGTTCTTACATGAATTTGCAACTGTAATCCACAGAACTTGAATGTTCCAAAAGTCCTAAAGCCATGATTTTAGTTCAAAGTTATCTTAGATAGATAGTGTCCTCAGGCATCTGGCAGGAGAAAAAGCAAATCCTTATCTTAGGCATCAAAACATTTCACCCTCAAAATCTTATATCCCATAGTATGGAGGTTCCTCAAAGAGTTAAAAATAGAGCTACCCTACGACCCAGCAATTGCACTACTGGGGATTTACCCCAAAGATACAGCAGTGAAAAGCCAAGACACCTGTACCCCAATGTGTATAGCAGCAGTGTCCACAATAGCTGAACTGTGGAAGGAGCCTTGGTGTCCATTGAAAAATGAATGGATAAAGAAGATGTGGTATATAAACATATATATAGAGACACTGGAATATTACTCAGCCATTAGAAACAACAAACACCCACCATTTGCTTTGACGTGGATGGAACTGGAGGGTATTATGCTGAGTGAAGTAAGTCAGAGAAGGATAATCATTATATGATGTCACTCATACAGGTAATATGAGAAATAGTGAAAGGGATTATAGGGAAAAGGAAAGAAAATGAGAGGGAAAATTAGAAAAGGTGACAAAACATGAGACTCCTAACCCTGGGAAATGAACAAGGGGTAATGGAAGGGGAAGTGGGTGGGGGGGTGGGGTGACTGGGTGATGGGCACTGAGGGGGGCACTTGATGGGATGAGCACTGGGTGTTATACTATATGTTGGCAAGTCGAACTCCAATTAAAAAAAAATATATATATAATAAAAAGTTAAAAATAGGTGTGCTTGGGTGGCACAGTCAGTTATGAGATCAACTCTTGGTTTTAACTCAGGTCATGACCTCAGGGTTGCAAGTTCGAGCCCTGTTGGGGGCTCCATACTCTGTGTAGAGTCTGCTTGATATTCTCTCTCCCTCTCCCCCTGTTCCTCTTGCCTACTCTCTGTTTCTCAAATAAATAAATAAATCTTTTTCTTAAAAGTTTAAAAATAGTGGGATGCCTGGGTGGCTCAGTGGTTTAGTGCCCGCCTTCGGTCCAGGGTATGATCCTGGAATCCCAGGATCGAGTCCCACATTGGGCTCCCTGCATGGAGCCTGCTTCTCCTTCTGCCTATGTCTCTGCCACCCCCGCCCCTTTGTGTGTCTCTCATGAATAAATAAATAAAATATTTTATAAAAAAGTTTAAAAATAGAACTACGCTATGGTCCAGTAATCAGACTACTGGCTATTTACCCAAAAGCTACAAAAATACTAATTCAAAGGAATACATGCACCCCTCTGTTTTGCAATAAATTGTACAATTATTTACAATATACAATATATTTACAATAGCCAAATTATGGAAGCAGACCAAGTGTCCATCAACAGATGAATGGACAAAGAAAAATATGGCATATAAATACAGTGGAATATAAAGAATAAAAAGAATACTCAGCCATAAAAAGAATAAAATCTTACCATTTGCAATGACATGGATAAGAGTATAATGCTAAGTGAAATGAGTCAGAGAAAGACAAATACCATATGTCACTCGTGTAATTTAAGAAACAAAACAAATGAGCAAAAGAAAAACAGAGACAGAGAGAGACAAACCAAGAAACAGACTCTTAACTACAGAGAACGGGGGCGCTGGGTGGCTCAGTTGGTTAAGTATCTCCCTTCAGCTCAGTCATGATCCCAAAGGCCTGGGATTGAGCCCCACGTAGGCTCCCTGTTCAGTGAGGAGTATGCTTCTCCTTCTCACCCTGCTCTGTCAAATAAATAAATAAAATCTTAGTATATAAGGTTTTTGTGTGTGTGTGTGTGTAAGCACACACACAGCGATTACAGTGTTAAATGTATATATCAGAAAAGAATAAAAGCTAAACAGCAAGGAGCTAAGTATGCATCTTAAAACATTAGAGGGGTGCTTGGCTGGCTCAGTCAGTAGAGCATAAGACTCTGGATCCTGGAGGTAGAGATTACTAAAAAAATAATAATAATAAATAAAAGAAAAGATTAAAAGAAAATAGTCAAGTTAAAAGTTGAACTTATAAGGCAAAACAACAAATCTTCATAAAGATTATCAATAAAGCCAAAAGTTGGTCCTTTCAAAACAATAGTGCATTTGACAAAACCTATGACAAACTGGTTATGAAAAAAAAAAAAAGCAGTTGGGGCACCTGGGTGGCTCAGTGGTTGAGCATCTGTCTTCAGCTCAGGGTGTGATCTCAGGGTCCCACATTCAGTCTCGCATCAAGACCCAAAGGCATGAGTCCCAAGTCCCAGTCCCTGCATTGGACTCCTGGCAGGGAGCCTGCTCTCCTTCTGCCTATATCTCTGCCTCATTCTCTCTGTGTCTCTCATGAATAAATAAGTAAAATCCGAAAGAAAGAAAGATGAAAGAAAGAAGAAAGAAAGAAGAAAGAAAGAAAGAAAGAAAGAAAAAGAAAGAAACGAACGGTTGGTGCAAATAATCAATATAAGGAATGAAAAAGGAGCCATTACCACAGAAGTCATATGCATTGAAAGAATAAACTAGAATATTATAAGTTTTTTTTGTTGGTTTTTTTTTTTTTAGATTTTATTTATTTATTCATGAGAGACACACAGAGAGAAAGAGGCAGAGGGAGAAGCAGGCTCCATGCAGGAAGTCCGACGCGGGACTTGATCCCAGGTCTCCAGGATCAGGCCGTGGTCTGAAGGTGGCGCTAAACTGCTGAGCCTCCCGGGCTGCCCAAATAATTTAATTCCAATAAATTTGTAAACAAAGATGAACTGAGAAAAGAACTTCAAGAAGAAATAAAAAATCTGATACTCCTATAACCATTAGAGAAACTGATCAAAAGTAAACAAACAAAAAGTTCCTATAGGGACAGCCCGGGTGGCTCAGCGGTTTAGTGCCGCCTTCAGCCCAGGGCCTGATCCTGGAGACCTGGTATCGAGTCCCGCATCCGGCTCCTTGCATGGAGCCTGCTTCTCCCTCTGCCTGGTCTCTGCCTCTCTTTCTCTCTGTGTCTCTCATGAATAAATAAATAAATAAAATCTTAAAAAAAAAAAAAAAGAGGAAGCCCCTCTACTTAAAAACAAAACAAAAACAAAAACAAAAAAACACAAAAAATTTCCTATAATAACACCAGCACAACCAGGTAGGCTTAGATTGCTCTATCAAGTTCCATCAAATTTCAAGGGGAAAAAAAATTCAACATAGACAGAATAGAAAAAGATTGTGCATTCTGTTATGAAGCCATCAAACACTCATACCAAAATCTGAAGGAAAAAGGACAAGAAAGGAAAATTATAGACCAATTTCACACATAAATATTGATGCAAATATCCATGAAAATATTAACACACTGACTCTAGTAATGTATTCAAAAATATGATAGATTGTGATCTAATTTGATTTACCCCAGAAATTTGAGGTCATTTTCATTTTAGGAAACAAATCAACATAACTCCCCACATTAAAAGAATAAAAGAAAAATCAAAGGAGGATCTCAACAGACACAGAAAAAGCACTTGCTAAACTTCAACATTCATTCATGATAAAACTTTTACCAAACTAGGGAAACCTTAATCTGATAAAAGACATCTATAAGAAAAACTATATCAAACATCATATTTAAAGTTAAAACATTAAAACCATTCCTTTTGAGAGTAGAAGCATGGAAGAATGCTCATTATCACCATTTATTTTATATTCTAATGAAGTCCCAGTCGGTAAATACAGAAAGCAAATAGAAGGAATAAGGATTGCAAAAGAATAAATGTAAATGCAAATTATGTGGTTGTGGTATAATAAAAAATAAATATTTGGTCTTTGTCTCCCAGAACCTGGCACAGAGCCCCTAAAATCCTTGGAATATCTTGAGTAAGAAGAGTGTTTTTTGTATGTTAAAGAGATTATTAGTGGGGGGTAGGGGTGGGCAGATAGCTTCAGAATGGAGGCTGGTTTACTGAAAGACCCAGCCAAGATTAGAGGACTGGAATTTTTGGCCCCACTCCACATCCCACTCCCTGGGAGGGGGAGAAGGTCTAGGGACTGAGTTCAATGACCAATGGATAATGATTTAATCAACCATGACATGTAATAAAATCTCTATAAAAGTTAAATGACAGGGTTTGGAGAGCTTCTGGGTTGGTGAATACGTCAAAGTGCTGGGAGGTAGTGCACTAGAAGACGGCATGGCAGTTTCATGCTCCCTCCATACCTTGCCCTACGCATCTCTTCTGTCTGGCTGTTCCTGAGTTGTATCCTTTATAATAATATGGCAAGTGTAAATAAAGTGTTTTCTGAGTTTCACTGAGTCCTTCTAACAAATTATTGAACCTGAGAGAAAGGGCCGTGGGAACCCCTGAATTTATAGACAGTGAGTCAAAAATATAGGTGACAAACTGGGACTTGCAACTGGCACCTGAAGTGGGGATAGTCTTGTGTGATTGAGCCCTTAACTGATAGAGTCTTCTCTTAATTCCATACAGTTAGTGTCAGAATTGAATTGAATGCTAAACACCCAAGTGGTGTCAGAGAATTAAAAGTTGGTGTGGAGGGATCCCTGAGTGGCGCAGCGGTTTGGCGCCTGCCTTTGGCCCAGGGCGCGATCCTGGAGACCCGGGATCGAATCCCACGTCGGGCTCCCGGTGCATGGAGCCTGCTTCTCCCTCTGCCTGTGTCTCTGCCTCTCTCTCTCTCTCTCTCTCTCTCTATCTCTCTCTCTGTGACTATCATAAATAAATAAAAATTTAAAAAAAAAAAAAAAAAGTTGGTGTGGAAAACGTCACACATTTGGTGTCAGAAAGAACCTTACAGGATGGCTATGTATACAAAAATTCCAAAAATAAAATTTACATATGAATTATTGAATTTAAGAGTTCGGGAGCAGCCCGGGTGGCTCAGCGGTTTAGCGCTGCCTTCAGCCCAAGGCCTGATCCTGGAAACCCCAGATGGAGTCCCACATCAGGCTCCCTGCATGGAGCCTGCTTCTCCCTCTGCCTGTGTCTCTGCCTTTCTCTCTCCCTCTTTCTCTCTGTCATGAATAAATAAATAAAATCTTAAAAAAAAAAGAATTTAAGAGTTCAGCAAGGTTGTTAGGTAAAAAATTAATA